TCCATTTTGGCCATTTTGGCTTTATTTTAGTTAAATAAATAATGACAGTACAATATGTTGCATGTTGTTGGGTTTTTTCAGTTTTTTCAGATCTGCTAAGGACCAGGGGCCTCATTTATAAAACTTTACGTAGAATTCATCCTAAAAGTGTACGTACGCACGAAAGCTAGATTCTGCGTACGCACAAAAGTTTTCAGATTTATAAAACCATTCGTACGCCAGAACCTGCACAAAAATCCTTTTATAAATCCCAGTCAGAGAAAGATTGTGCGTACGTGCATCTCCACCCCGTCTCCTCCCCGAAACCACCATATATGGAGCTTTCAACGCCTAGTTTTACTATGCATAACCTCATCTGCATATCATTTCCATGCATATTCCCATACACGTGACACCATGTTTAACTCCATCAAAGGTACAAGATATTAAGGAGATACGGACTATAAATGCCATTTCTGCCATACAATTTACATTGCTAAAATCATCCAGTATATCCTTGTTATGTTTTAGAATAAATATATCAAAAAATCCATAAAAACAAAATTGTATAAAATACTTCACAGAGAAACTTTTTAGAAAAGAGTTGATTCATTCTTTTACACTGGCCAAATAGGCTATTTTAATTGTTTTAAATAAATCAAATGTATGCCGTTTTGCTGATAATGTACACATATGTGACCCTGGACCACAAAACCAGTCTCAAGTCACTTGGGTATATTTTTAGCAATAGGATTGTCCTATCCTAACAAACCATACATCAATGGAAAGCTTATTTATATATACACTACAAATATGTCTATTCATATAATCTTTAACTTCTGCATAATGACTTTATGTCAGTGCTCATCTCCATTAATGAGTGTCATTTTTAATGTAATTGTTTGCATCAAAATGAAAACAGAGTTTAAAATACTTCATTGTTTTGCTCACTGTAGTAAAAGTGTGCGTACGCATGGGTCAGAGTTGGCGTGCAGGTGCGCAAATTTTCCCGTCAAGTTTGTTTTTATAAATCCCATCTTTTGTGTAGGAAGTGGCGTAGGCCTCTTTCAGGGCATGTTTTGTGCGTACGCAATGGTTATAAATGAGGCCCCAGATGACTGTTTTTACTATGTCCTGATGTGTAAAACCATTGAAGTCTAAGAGGGTGTAGTACTTTCTTTTTCACATGACTATGTGTACAGTATGTTCTCAATTAGTATCAGGGTTCCCAGGTTGTCGCAACAACACCCACCCAATTGCTACTCAAAACTAGCCCAATGGCGTTTCGAGGGGGGGTTCCCCGGTAAAAATCGCATTCCGGGGATAAAATACACGTTTTTCGGCGGGGATCCTCCAGTAAAATTCGCATTCCAGGGGCTAAATATCACGTTATTGGGGTCGCTTCAACCCGCCGACATGAAAAACAACCCGCGGCAACAGTGTTAAAGTAGCCCAATTCCGTGGGAAAACCGCGGACTTGGCAACACTGATTAGTATGTACTTTTGTTGTTCCAGTGTAAATGTTAACCAGTTTGTTAATGTTAATAGTTTGTAGTAGGAAAAAAATGAAAACATCTTGTCCTCAGCTCTGTGTCACATCAATTTACATGAACAATATGGTGGCCTAATAAGACAACAAAATGATGTTAAACAAGGATCAGCATAGTGACAGTGACAGACAGGGAGAAAGATGGGAGGCAGGAAGAATTAAGGTTGCTTTACAGCCTCTGAAAGCACAACAGCTCACCGAATGCAAAATAGCATGACTTAAAGAATAGTTCATGGAAACATTTTGTCATAATTTATTCACCATGTCATTCCAGACCTACATTATTTTAAATTTCTTTGAAATCAAACAGATCTACCGACAATGAGCTGGAGATCTTGGCATACTGGTTAATTAACTTCCGTGCATGGCTATTGCTAATGCTACAGTGTTACCAAGACATGGAAAATTAGTGAGGTTAGGAAAGCATTCAGTTTAACAGAGATAAGTCAATTTTGAGTTAAGTTTGTGTTAGATTTCCGAATAGTCTATTTTCCAATGTCTGATTACACTGACATGTACACACACAAAACTTCTACATTACATATTTTTATTCACAAATAAATAAATAAATAAATATGCCACTTTTTATGTAAATTGTAAGCGAGGAGAAGTCAGATATGGAAAACTAATGTGCTTAATTATTATTATTTCAAGAGATCTGTTATAAATTGAAAATAGAGAAGCACGTCTACGTCATAGAACCAAAGAAATATGCTCTGTCCTCGATTCACCCTGTGATATCTGTTCAAGAGCTGTGTGTGTGTGTGTGTGTGTGTGTGTGTGTGGAGGCTCAGTGACTCAGACTCTACCTTAATGTGCTTAATCTAACAGAGACGTCACAAGCCATAACAGGGCATTTGTTCGTTATGCGGAGTTGCAGTAATAAAACCACTCTTAAAACACTAAAAATTGTTAATTAGTCTTCATATGCTGTATAAGAATTTATGGACAAAAAGAATGCTATTTTATGAATAAATTCTCTGTTCCAGCATATTTTGGCAACGTATTCTGATTCAACTGATCAAATTGGTTGCATCAGTACATTCTTTTGGTTAAGGGCGAAGGTTCTTTAAGGTAAGAAATACAGTAATAGTTGTGTCTGACTGGAAGACTGAGAAATAAGATTTCATCGCAGAGTTTGTTACAGCGGAAACTCAATGAAGGGCTGCTTTACAAAGAGTCTTTATGATGTTTATCTCCGGCTGCCTGAGGACAACATTTATTTTCCAAGACAGGCCTTATGGACTATATATGTACAGTCCTTGTCAAAAGTTCGGAAACATTATGAGTAGACAGTGTAAGTCATTATAATCCGTAATTATGTCCCTACTGGATGCAACAAATGCCTCGTTTTTAATGGGTTTTATTGGTTTTGTCCGGTCGTGCCGGGAGACGGCATCACAGTATGGTAAGGTGCGTAACAATTCCGTCACACGCTTGAGGTATCCGGCCAATCACAACGCACTGGATAGCTGGCCAATCAGAGCACACCTCGCTTTTCAGACCAATGAGCTTTGTAAAAATCGACGCGTTTCAGAAAGGCGGGGCATAGAGGAGAAACAATAATGTACAGTATGTGGAAAATAATGTGTTTTTTGAACCTTAAACCGCATAAACACATTTCATTACACCAAATACACCAAATATTGTTCTTTTTAGCAACATCATATGACCCCTTTAATGGACCGTATTTCAGTCACTATAATATTCATTCCGTTGTCTGACAACAGAAACAGTGAAATATATTAATAAAAGCAGTTTTATTGAGAATTTGGCTGCATTAAAATGCAGTACGTGAGCACAGGGAGGCAAGACAATACAACGCAATGACGTCATGAATATGCTAATTAGCGTATGATGTCATTTAGCGACTTTTCAGGCGGGGTTTAGCTACTTTCCATTGAAAGAAGTTGGCAACACTGTTTCTCACATACATTAAGCCCCAGACTCAAAGCACGAAGGACCAAAGCGTCATGCTGGCAGAACAGAGAGTGATGTACCCTAAAGAAATATCTGATCCAGTCAGTCAGGATGGAGCTATATCCTTCACAGAAGAAGCTGTGTCCATATTAATGTCCAGCAGCATGCTAGCCCACTCTTTTCTTATCCATCCCAGAGTTCTGAAACACCAAGAAAGCTCTGAGACTGACAGCCATATCGCACTGTGTCGCAAACTTGAGTCTATGCTTCCCGATAAAAAGGACAAAGGTTATTGGGACAAGCGCAAAAAGAACAACGAAGCTGCCAGGCGTTCACCTGAGAAACGCCGCATCAACGACAAGGCGGTAGAAAACAAAGTTCTGGCTCTTCTTGAAGACAATGCATGTCTGAAAGCTGAGCTACTGGCACTTAAGTTCAAATTCGGTTTGATCAAAGATCCCACAGATTCACCAGCACAGACCTGCTCCTTTGGTTCACATAACTAAACATTTCCAGCAATACGCTACAACTGCCCCAATACAAACTCACAACCTACTTTTGGTCATCTGTTGTCGATCTCAGATCATGGTGGTCCAGATGGGGTGCAAAACTATGGGTTCTTCATGCCTGGAGGGTCAAGCATTGGGAGCCCAGAGCTTTCAGATGATGCTGTAGGTGAACATATACGACAATCCTCTTACAGAGCTGGTGAACAACCAAGCGGTATCGCAGCAGTGGATACAAATTCATTAGGGTGGCAAGCGAACAGTATGAAAGGTCTTCCTCATAAACTGCGTTTCAAGACACCATGTGGAATTGAAGATGCTGATGCTGAGGTCCTTCTTCCAGTGGAGAATACTAGAGGGTTTATGGAGGCCACAAACACACACAATGCCATCAGCTTGTTCAACAGCACTTCAGAATAACGCTTCAATTCACAGGCGTACAGAAAGTCACAGCGCTATTAGATTCCAGATTAGCGCTTTGACTGAAGAAGTGGCCCAACTCAAAAAACTGTTCTCCCAACATCAGCTGTCCAAAGTGAACTGAACTCATCTGTCCCACCTGTCTTCTGGCCTATCTAAAGAAAGAAACCCATTTTTCTGATTAGAACAGACAAATATAAGAAGCCAGCTGGTTGTTCACTGGAACAGCTGGCAATCTAAGTGACTTTTAATTTATGTGAATGTTTAATATGCCTGTCTGCTCCACTAGTAATGTTTGCTACATGCTGGATGAAATGAAAAATACTGTGAAAAGCTCTGCTGTCTTCGGTGTCTACTGTTGTAGCGTATGGTGCTTTGTTTAAGCTAAGCAACACCGGCAACATTGAACCTTCACAAATGGCAATTCAATCTAAACCTTTTCGGTGTACCTTTCCTATTCAGTGCTTTAGTTATTTTTTCATCAAATTTCTGTTTGAGCTTTTGCACGGAGAGAGGACTCTTTTGGTTTTGCCAGTTTGTTTAAATGCACTTGTGGTTCAAAGTATTTTTTCACATTCATTTTACAAATATGTGGTCTTGTTTCATGAATAAGTGTGGACTTTTTTATTTTTTACCCGGAAAGAAGGGAAGTGAAATGTTACAACTCTGATTTAAACCATGGGTCTATTATTAAAAGATGTGAGATAAAAATCCTCTGGTGAAAGCGGTAGAACAACACACAAAAGTCCTCAATGACAACCCAAGAGGATTTTTATGATGATATTAGATTTTTTTATATACCCACATTCTTTACAACCCAATGTCTACATCTTCTTCCATGTTTATAATCTATAACACTCAACAGAGAATGAACTGTACTTTTTAAAGCACTGCATACAGTATAGTTCTGCTCAGAATATGTAACATGTTTATCATTTCAAAAATGAACAATCGGCATTGCATTTTTAAAAATCATTTATTACTGCCCTTAAGTTAATTTAAACACACACTCAAATTATACTGTTTAAAAGTGTACTTACACTACCGTTCAAAAGTCGGCGGTCAGTAAGATTTTTACAAAGAAATTAATACTTTTATACAGCAAAGATACATAAAATTGATCAAAAGTGACAGTAAATACATTACAAGACTATTTTCTATTTCAAATAAATGCTTTTCTTTTGAACATTATATTCATCAAATAATCCTGAAAAAAAAAAATTCCTCAAACATATTTAGCAGCACAACTGTGTTTAAAACTGATGTTACAATTGATAAATGTTTTCTTCAAATCAGCATATTAGAATAATTTCTGAAGGATCATGTGACACGGAACACGGGAGTAATGATGCTGAAAATTCAACTTTGCATTACAGAATAAATAACATTTTAAAATATATTCAAAATAGAAAACATGTAGCCTAATATTTTCTGCTTTTATCTAAATATTTGTTATATCAAAATACTTTCTACTTTCTCACTACTGCCTAAGCAGTATATATAATATTTGTTTGTCATTTTAGATATTGAACTCTGGCAATCAAAACACCCTCATATACTCCGTAGTTGCAGCTCTTTGCAGGGTAACAGTATATTTGGCTGAAGACCAAGTGGCTGATTACAGCAACAACTTCAATGGCAGCGTCAGCACCAAAGTGGCTATTTAAAGATGTGAGAGTGAACGTCATTGATTCCCTATAGTAAGGTGTGACTTCAACATAACAAAGCTAAAAGAAATATTCGGTTTCAGTAGGGAGTGGTGTTCTTGTACCAAGGAGTGAGTAGTAGAGCAAAATGAAACAAAAATGTCTGAATTTATTTCCTCTAGAGATTCCCACAGTCTCACTGTCTGCCAGACAGTTTATAGCAGCTATGTTCAATGTCAACATCAGCACTTCTGTAGCTATTTAAAGCTGCAGGAGACAAAGTTATTGATTCACGAATGCATTTATGCTCAACGTTAAACATGCAAGCAATGCAAAAAGACACAGGCAAGCAGCAGTGGATCGAAACAAAAGGTTTACAGGCTCAGCTGCCTAAATTCTGCTCTGTATTCTGTATTTTAAAACCATGGCTTTTGGGCAGATGTTTGCAGGTTGATTGAGCTGATCTGTGCTTGGTTTATCTGTTTGTGTAGGAATACACGTATTAATTTAATTAAGTGTAAGCAGCCATGTTAAAAAGGGGGTGGGCATCAAAAAGTCAGTCTGAAAAGTGTGAAACAGAAATTAATAATACAAATGACCATTGTTTTTGTAGTCTATAAATGATGATTATTATTAATACTATTATCATTAACAACATTTAAAGGAATAGTTCACCGAAAAATTCAAACTTGCTGAAGTTTTGTACTTACTTTCAGGCCATTCAAGATGTAGATGAATTTGTTCCTTCATCTGAACAGATTTGGAGAAATTTAGCATTACATCACTTGCTCACCAATGGATCCTCTGCAGTGAATGGGTGCCGTCAGAATGAGAGTCCAAACATCGCAATAATCCACAAGTAATCCACACAACTCCAGTCCATCAATTAACATCTTGTGAAGCGAAAAGCTGCATGTTTAAGAAAAAAAAAATCCATTAATGTGTTTTAAATTTAATGGCCAAAATATCAGTCCACAATCTATAATAATGCTTCCTCCAGTGAAAATGTCCGTCCCATGTTGTCCTCTCACATCTAAATCCATAGACATATTTGCTTAGAAGTGATTTTGCTTATAAACGGTGCTTGACTTTTCTCTCCTGATTCAGACAAGACAAACTTTTCACTAGAGGAAACACTATGGTTTCAAGTTAAAAAAGTCTTAATCCTGAACAGGTATCTTAACATGCAGCTTTTTGCTTCACAAGACGTTAATTGATGGACTAGAGTCATGTGGATTACTTGGATTATTGTGATGCTTTTATCAGCTGTTTGGACTCTCATTCTGACGGCACCCATTCACTGCAGAAGATCCACTGGTGAGCAAGTGATGTAATGCTAAATTTATCCAAATCTGTTGTAATGAAGAAAAAAAATCATCTACATCTTGGACCACCCGAGTATGAATACATTTTCTCCATTTTACATTTTTGGGTGAACTGTTGCTTTAAAACACTTAACACGTCTCATGTTTTAAATATTACCATGTGGGGGCACTACCACACTTTGTTTATATATTTATTGGTTGGCTGTTGACTATGATGACGTAATAAAATGTGTGGTTTTATCCTGTACTTTAACTATACAAACTTTCCAATAAACAATGCGCACTTCTACAATATAAAGCTGGTCTTGATTTGTAAACACTGAGGTGTAATTTTTATTAGGCATTCTGCTTTTATGAATGAAGGTGTGGCAGGATTTCAAAATATTGTCCCCACTCATACCTACTAACATCTGCTCCCCTTGGATCTCAGATCTACTAGTGGACCGGCGAGTGTAGCTGCTTAGACAATACAGCTCCACAGAGGATGCCTACGCTGCTTCCTGATCCATGATCCACATTAGATAAACACACATAGGGTTCTTTGTCTCTCCCAGCACCCCTCATCAACCCCTCTCTCTATCTGCAAGGAGGGAGGGGGAGGGAAAACCAGTTGCTAGGCAGGCAGCATAACGGTTGCCTAGGGAACTGTAGCAGACGCAGCTGTGAGTGAATGGGGGAGAAAGCGGAGCGGGAGGGAAAGGCAAGTTCAAGGCCAACACCCCCAGTCTGCGTAATGTCCGTCAGCACCACAACAAATGAAGAGGAGCACACAGGCTGGCGGCAGAGGCCTAAAACCAAACTGACATGTCTCTTACCGTGACCCTCTTGATCCTAGCACTTCACTAGGATTCAATATTCTAGCGTGGTTTAAGACAAGGCAAAAGGTCACATTATAAAAATTGTTGCAGCTGGCTTGAGATTATTTGTGACACTGGTAAAAATAATACATACAGTTGAGTACTGTATCAAAAGGTTCTTAAGGAATAGTTCACCAAAAAATGAAAATTTGCTGAAAATGTACTCACCATCAAATCATCCAAGATGTAGACGACTTGTTTTTTTTCTTTATTCAATGTTCAATATTTTTTCATGAGTTTGTTTTCGTCTTTCAAGATGTTTTTAACCTTAAACCATCGCTTCTGGCCAAAATATGAGTCCATAATCCATAATAACACTTTCTATAGTGGAAAAAATCCAACCTCTTATGTCCTCTCACATCAAACCTACCAAAACATTTGAACTGTTTTGGACTGTTTTCGCTTGTAAACGCTGCTAAATCTGTGCCTATTTCTCTCCCGATTCAGATAAGATTATTTTTTTTACCAATGGAGAAAGCGATATAATGCTTAGAGGACTTGTATTGTAACCAGGAACAATGGTTTGAAGTAAAAAAAAAAAAATGGCTTGATGAATTTGTTTCTTACAAACATGCTGCTTTTTACTTCACAAGATGTTTATTGATGGACTGGAGTTGTGTGGATTACTTGTTTGGACTCTCATTCTGACGGCACCCATTCACTGCAGAGGATCCATTGGTACGCAAAGTGATGTAATGCTAAATTTCTCCAAACTTCTGAATGAAGAAACAACCTTGTCTACATCTTGGATGGTCTGAGGGTGATTCAATTTCAGCAAATTTTCATTTTTGGGTGAACCATTCCTTTAGGGATCACTGAGGTTCACATACAAATTTGTAATGAAAATAATTGT